ATGTACATTTTTAAAAAATCTGATTTGTGTACAACATTTAATTGAAACATTTAATTTCAGTTTGCTTTTTTGTAGCGCAACGATAAAACAATTACATTAAAATAGAAATGAGAATTGATGTTAAAGGCATTCCCCAACCCTCAATTGACCAATTTAAGGAACAACTTTGGTCCGCGGGCCCTAGTTTGGGCATCACTAGTCTACTGACTTCTCACTGCCATACAAATGATTCTTTAAAAGGGACAAAACATTGTCACAGACTGGAAAAGAGTATGGCAGAACATTTCCTAATCACCAGCTCATTCACTATAACTTTTGTTATAGAACCTACTGGACCCCACTCAAAAGACATCAATGTCTCCTTTAGTCCTTTCTGTGATAAATGTCCCGACCAGGAACTTGGATCTTTTTTCCATATGATGTGGGAATGTGAGAAAGATTTTGGAATGAGATCTGTGTCATCTTATCAAAAATTATTGAATATCCTGTACCATTGAATCTCTCTGTTCTATTACTGAGTGATGATTCTACGTTGAACCTTACCAGGCTACAAAAAGCTGTTTGGCTGGCTGGCTTAACTTCTGCTAAAAAATTACTAGCCCAACATTGGCTGCCTTCACATAATTTGGACATGTACAAGTGGTTGGTACAACTTCAAGACATTATAATGTTGGGGTTATCCACAGCGCGAGTGAACTTGGTACAAGTGAGTACATTACAGATCTGCGGCCTCATGTACGAATACTTGCGTGGAAATCATACTAAAACGTTTATAACGCTGAATCCCACGCATATTCTTTTGTACATCCGAATTACCGTGAAACTGAGCGCAACATGCACGAGCACAAAACCCCTCCCTGCCTCCTCCCCCATATGAATATGCTAATGACTATGCTAATGGCAAAACCCAACGAAAAAGCAAACAAAAAGAGAAACTTTGAACAGAATGTGAACTGGAGGTGCTGCTTTCGGAGGTAGACCGGAGAAAAGCGGTGTTATTTGCAAGTTTGTCCTCCGGAATTAACAACAAAAGAAAAAAATAGAGTGGGAGAGTTTAGCTGATGCGGTTAACACAGTTGGGTCTGAACATCGCACTGAGTGCATTAAAACAGAAATAGTGTGGTTTATATCTGTAAAATGTTGCAGGACCCTTAACAGTCTCAGTGGCGCAGCTCGTAAAACGCGTGTCAACATGTTTTGACACGTTCGAGCATGAACCCGCTTCGAATCCAGCGTCTGATGAACTCTTTCTTGTTTTTTCCCCCGCTACATATCAGATTTTGCCTACTATTTATCACGAGTCAGACAAGTAGGAATCATCAATAAGTTTGTGCATCATATTTTATTTACACATTTATTGAATGAAAATGTTTCTGATTCACGTATGCAAATTCATCTTCAGATAGTGTCTTTATAGCAATGTGTGTGCAGTAGATCGCTCAGATTACATTGGGAAAACAGGCGACCGCTGCAAATTGTGCTTTAATGTTTGGCTGGTCAACTGTATGGTATGGAAACCTTAAATACCTGCTAAATGAACCTCTCATACAGCTGCCATTGCAAGGATCAGACACTTTGTAAAGTGCAATTTAACACAACTGCCTCTAGGAGTCGCCATTGGAAATAAAACAGACATGCACAAAAAAATGTGCGTATGTCAGCCATAAAGCTGGCGTGAAGCTGCGCACATTTCATTTCATCGTTAGTAAATCCAAACGTGAGCGATTCTGAGCGTGAAACCTGGCGTACGCAAAGTTTTTGTGCGTACGCAGCGTTGATACATGAGGCCCCTGAACTTTAGCTGCTGACAAAATCTCCTTGTTTATTGCACAAAGATGATCAGGATCAGGATCCAGAATGATTGCCTTGCTTTGTATAATTAATGTTTTGTTAACAATTAATTTAAAAAAAAAGTGACAAAACGTTCAAATTATGCACTATTTTCTGAGTTTTTGCATTTTTTTTATATTCTAGTTCTGAATTTTTCATTACAAGGTTATTATTGGTTTATGGGTTTAAGAAGTCTTTCATCTTTATATGGAGGATAGATTTGAAGGAATAATCAGTAATAATAATAATAAAAATGACTCCTTATATTTATATAGCGCTTTTCTGGGCTCTCCTCATCCACCACCAGTGTGCAGCATCCACCTGGATGACGCGACGGCAGGTGGATGCTGCACACTGGTTCACTCAAAACTTAGACAAAACACAAGAACGAATGATAACAGACTAAATGAAAAATTCAGCCAAAATGTAAAGGAATTTACTTGTATTTCTGTTGCTTTAAACTTTACTTTTCTACAATCTGCTCTTTTGCTTTCAAACAAAGCATTAAAAAGGACTAAATAAAAGAAATTATGCTATATATTATGCTGTATAAATGCTCTATCATGCTATATACGTTTTTGTAACATTCATTGTTATAAGTTGATATTGGGTTATTAAGTGAATTTGTTGATCTTTAGACAGATTGATTTAAGAGAAGAATTCACACTTTTTTGGAATATAATTCATATTCGAAGTCCTTATTTTTTACAAGAACATATTGGGTTATGAAGTTAGAGGTAATGCGTCTGCTGTCTTTAGATTGAGGGCTTTATTTAAAGGAACACTACATTTTATTGGGGGAAATAATTTTCTACTCCTCTAGAGTTAAGAGTCGAGTTTTACCATTTTTTAATCCATTCAGCTGATCTCTGAGACTGGTGGGAGCATTTTTAGCTTAGCTTAGCATAAATCATTGAATCAGATTAGACCATTAGCATTTTACTCAAAAATTACCAAAAAGTTTAGATAATTTTCTTATTTAAGACCTCCTATTTAACTTTTGTACTACTTGTTTGTACTTTTGTAGTTACATTATGTAGTTACGAACTATATACTATATATAAGAATTATATTCTACATGCACTATATAACTATATACTATATACAATGTAACTATATGAAGTTAAAGGTAAAATGTCTGCCGTCTTTAGATTGAGGGCTATATTTGAAGGAACATTCCTTTTTTGGGGGGGACAAAGTTACTACTCCCCTAGAGTTAAAAAGTCGAGTTTTAGCCTTTTTGAACCCATTCAGCCAATCTCAGAGTCTTGCTGGAGCACTTTTAGCTTAGCTTAGCATAAATCATTGCATCGGATGAGACCACAAAAATGACCAAAAAGACAATTTTCCTATTTAAAGTCTCCTTTTAAACTCTTTTGTAGTTACATTGTGTACTAAGACCAACAGAAATTGAGAAGTTGCTATTTTTAGGGCTGATATGGCTAGGTACATATTTATATACTTACTTAATATATTTTCAGGGCCGTTTATACCAAAGTTAATATTTAGCCACACCACGTTGGTCTTTCATAACATCTAATTTTACGAGGTGGGTCATTAGCTCAACCCCTAACCTGGAGGATCTACACGTACACACATACAAAACAGACAATTCAGCATACCCAATTCACCTATAGTGCATGTCTTTTGACTTGTGGGAGAAACTAGAGCACCCGAAGGAAACCCATGCCAACACGGGGAGAACATGCAAACTCCACACAGAAACGCCAACTGACCCAGCCGGGGCTCGAACCAGCGACCTTCTTGCTGTGAGGAGACAGTATACCCACTGCGCCGCCGAGCTGCCCACACGCACACACACACATGTTTGTTTTTGTGAAAAGTGGGGACATTACATAGGTTTCCATTCATTTTATATGGTCCAAACCGTATATTATATTGCCCTCACCCCACCCTACCCCTAAACCCAACTATCACAGGAGACTGTGTGCAGCTTTACTCTCTCATCCTGTAGGATTTATAAGCATTTTGAGAAACGAGGACATCACCAATGTCCTCCTATTTCACCTCCTTTTTGTAATACCTGTGTCATACCCATGTCCTTATACAGATTTGTGTCCTGATATGTCACAAAAACACGTACACACACACACATACACACACATATATACATACATATATATAAGGACACACTCCCTGTGTAAGCAGATGGTCACAGTGTACATTAACTAGCTAGGGATTATTTTCAGGCGCTGTGAATTACCATTGCTCCAGCAAGAGTATAGTTTCAAGCCCTATTACCCTACTAAATAATGACTTTTCAGTTTCCCACGGTACAAGATGGTACAGACGTGTCTAGCTTTAAATGGGAAAATTATCAAAAATCTTGTGTCAGTTTTGAGCGTCATGCTAATGGTCTAATTTAAAGATCTATGCTAAGCTAACACCATCTCCTAACAACACGTGACACTGTCTTTGCCATGTTAAAAGGATTTCTTTTCACTAACCATCACAACATCAAGGCTAAACAACAGTAAATATTACTATGACAAGTATCACCTCAGGTACTGATCATGGGCTGTATTTGGTGTTAAATGCTCCTAATGTGAGTTTAATTACTATTTTACGATACATTTATTTCTGTACTATTGAAAGCAGCAGCAGCAGATAGTTCACTTCAGATCTTGAAAATAACTAGCAGATGGTTTGTAAATGAAAGTCAATACTGTGACCTCAGTGCAAACCAACAACATCAGTCACTCAGTTGCCTATTAATAATGTTAAAGAGGTTTAATATGTATTTACAGTTTTGTTTAGAGTGCAGTGTTTGTTATTTAAATGTTTCTGTCATGTGTATCGCTTTTGGTGCAGACAGAAAAATTGCTTGTTGCTGAAATCTTGTATTTTTAGGACAGTGTTTAAAAGTTAAAAGTGTTTCTGACTCACCCAGAGATTGACTGAATTAATTTAAAAGTGGTAAAACTCAACTGTTTAACCCTAGTGGACTTTAAAAATTTGCCTATTTGCAAAAAAAGTGTAGTGTTTCTTTAAAATCATAGTTGACTCAACTTATAATTGGTTTTAAAGGAAAAATGCATCCAGCTTATGCACTATATTCTGAGTTTTCTGAATGTGCATGACGTATTGTGTGCGAAACTGCCTGAATTTCCTTTATAAAGTGTCCTTTTCTCTGGCGTATCCCCTCTCAGGTGACGTCCCGTTGGACCTTCCGCTGTCCCGGCTGCCCACAGGCTCTATCGCATGACGATTCGCACTTCCACGAGCGTCACAAGTGCATCAACTTCTTCGTAAAAGTTTACGGATACATGCCGCTGTTATACACTCAGTTCAGAGTGGACTCTGTACTCTTCAAGACTCGACTGCCCCACGACAAAACCAAATGTTTTAAATTCATTTAGCGGGAGCGTGGGGACATCCGGCGGACGTGGGACGATCTCTCTCTCTGGGAGCGGGAAGGGAATTAAAGCTTTCTTGTAAATACTGGAGGATTTTACTTTGAACTCGTCTTCCTTGAAGCCAAGGGAGAACTATTATGAAACGAACGATTACCGTCAGGCGTTCTTGAACATGCGTTATTCATCAGCAACCACTGCAGGCTTGATTTGCACCACTTTTCATGGGTCGCCTGAGACAAGGACGCTTTAATGGACATCCAACCGATGTTATACTGACGGAACGTGCAAAATGATGAACTAACGGAGGCTGTTTTTAAAGGACGTATCTGAGAATAACGGAGAAAATTTTGTCATCGCTCTAAATGCTTTTATTTTTTACTTTCTGTGCATATATTCTCTGCTTTGACGCTCTGATGTTTGTGTTTTTTTACCTGTGTGTTTGTGTGTGAATGTGTGGGTGTGTATACTGGTTTTGGTGGTTTATGAGGACATCAATTTTTATAACAACCTAGAAATTTAAAATGTTGAGGTGTTTTATAAGGACAAGCTTTGTGTCCTTGTAATTCAAAATCGTGAAAAGTCATATTTAACCAGTATTTTTGGATTCAAAATTGGCCACAGGTTTTCAGTGAAGGTTAGATTTAGGTTAGGGCAAGTGCTTTTGTGATATGACCTAGACTTTTTGTGCGATGACCTAGGAATTAAAATGTTGAGGTGGTTTATAAGGACATGCCTTGTGTCCTTGTAGTTCAAATTTGTTAAAAGTCATATTTAATTGGAATTTTTTGATTCAAAATTGGCCACAAGTTTCCTGTGAGGATTGGGTTTGGGTCAGGGCTAGGGTAAGGCCATTAAATAAGTGTTTTTTTTTTGTTTTTTGCAGTGACCTAGGAATTAAAATGTTGAGGGGGTTTATAAGGACATGCCTTGTGTCCTTGTAATTCAAAATTGTAAAAAGTCATATTTAATGGGAATTTTTGGATTCAAAATTGGCTACAAGTTTCCTGTGAGGGTTTTTTGTTTGGGTTAGGGCTAGAGCGGGGTTCACCAATCTCGTTCCTGGAGGTCTGGTGCCCTGCAGGGTTTAGCTCCAACTTGCCCCAACACACCTGCCTGGGTGTTTCAAGTATACCTAGTAAGACCTCGATTAGCTTGTTTAGGTGTGTTTGATTTAGGTTGGAGCTAAAATCTGCAGGACACTGGCCCTCCAGGAGCAAGTTTGGTGATCCCTGGGCTAGGGTAAGGCCATAACATAAGTGTTTTTTTTTTTTTTTTAATGACCTAGGAATTAAAATGTTGAGGTGGTTTATAAGGACATGCCTTGTGTCCTTGTAATTCAAAATCATTAAAAGTCATATTTAACCAGTATTTTGGATTAAAAATTGGCCACGAGTTTCCTGTGAGGGTTGGGTTTAGGTTAGGGCAAGGGTAAGGCCATAAAATAAGTGTTTTTTACAGTGACCTAGGAATTAAAATGTTGAGGTGGTTTATAAGGACATGCCTTGTGTCCTTGTTATTCAAAATTGTTAAAAGTCATATTTAACTGGTATTTTTGGATTCAAAATTGGCCACAGGTTTCCTATGAAGGTTGGGTTAGGTTAGGGTAAGGCCATGTAATAAGTGTCTTTTTTTACAATGACCTAGGGATTAAAATGTTGACATGGTAAATAAGGATATGCCTTGTGTTCTTGTAGTTAAAAACTGTAAACAAAATATATATATATATATATATATTTACGGGGATTCTTTTTGGATTCATAAATGACCACAGGTTTCATGTGATGGTTGGTTTTAGAGTAAGGCCATATAGAAAGCTTTTACAGTATAAAATACATCACACCTATGAAGAGTCCTCGTAAACCACCAAAACCATCATGTGTGTGTTGTTCTGTAGGTTGATGGAGACTTAATGTCGCTAACCATCACATGTTTGTTAATCATCAGTATGAATAGCACAATTATTAAACATAACAGCATAGGAATAGCACCAAAATCCAACTGTTACACGTTCTCAAAATGTCAGTCAAAATGTCTGTAAGCTATTTAGTACATTTGTGGGATAAGCGATTCAATGCCTCTTGCTGGGTAAATCACGTATGTTGCGTGTCATTTTACTAAGGTCAAATGATTTCATAGCTCAAAATGATAAAGAAATGTCCAGGTCATTTTCAATGATAAAATGTGTTATTTGTGACAATATTTTGATGAGTTTTAGCATGAATAACACTCAAATTCTCACATAATTACTGTTTTTTTTTGTCAGCTTCAGTGTTTATTTCATGAATTCTAGCACATTTAAAAACCCAAATTCTTATAATAATACAAATACATTTAATGCATGATGATAAATTATGCAAAAACAGTCTAAAAAGTGCAATTTGTCATGATTTTGGTGACATTTCTGCCTTTTATAATTTACTATAACTCCCTAATTGAATTGTAATTCTCATTATTTTTCTTTTTATAACATAATAATTCAGTACAACAGATATTGGCCACATATATGGATATTTGCATTTTAAATATAGTGTTTCTTTTACATTTTTTGTGCTTCAAAGTCATGAAAATAATGTCACAATGTCCAAATCTTAATGCACAATATTTTTTATTTCACATTTCCATTTGATTCAGTGACGAAATGTGACCTGGAGATGTCCTTCATATGTTCGTGTGTCTGCTTTGAGATTTACAAGACGAAATCAGGTCTGAAATGTGCACAAATACAAACAAACGAGTGTGATTTTGAGGCGGAGGAGTGATAATGTTGACAGGACGTGCATTAGTTGCCCTTTTTCCTCTATAAACGGTACGTGTTTCTTTTCAGTGTTGGGATTTTTCCTCATTTCAGCATCCAGCTCCAGTTTCTGTCTTCTGGTTAACTCACGATGGCTCTCCTGACATCCTTGACAGGTACATTTAGGAAAATGCCTGCGCTATTGTAATTTAATGAGTTTTATTTTTTATAAAACAGACATAAATGTGGCTCGGTTTCTCTTGGAAGAGGACTTGTCAGATATGATTTCTTTTGTTACTTGGTCATGTTTTGTATTGTGTGTAAATCTATTGAGCAGGCTTTAATGTATTTGTTTTTTTAAGTCAATATGAAGACTGTACGGCCTTTGGGTTTGGACTGTAACTGACAACATAAAAATATTGGTAGTAAAGAGTCGAATGCCAGCAAACATTATAACTGACAAACTTCTTCAAACCACACTAATAAACCAGCCAGTGTCCTCATCTCTTTCATTTTGCTCAAGATCTCAGTGTCAAACATCAATGTGTTAAAGGATGGCTGACTATTTACATCCATTTAATTCAATTCATCTTTATTTCTGTAGCGCTTTTGCAAAGCAGATTGTATCAAAGCAGCTTAACATAGAAGATCTAGTAGATTGAAACTGTGTCAGTCCAGTTTGCAAAGTTCAATTTAGCTTGGTTCAGTGTGGTTTAATAATCACTGCTGAGAGTCAAACACTGAAGAGCAAATCCATCGATGTGCAGCTCCACAAGTCCCAAACAAGTGGCGACAGTGTCGTGGAACCAAACTTCACTGATGGACGAAAGTGAAGGAAAAAAACTTGGAGAGAAACAAGGCTCAGTTGGGCATGACCAATTCTCCTCTGGCCAAACTTCTTGTGTAGGGCTGCAGTCTAGGCGCCGGAGGCTGGAGAACACTGGACATCCTTCGCGGAGAAGCTGCAGGTTTGAGTAGGTCACCGGCAGGTGTTCAGGCTGGCCCATGGGATCAATGCGGAAACTCGTCTTTCAGGAATCAGTCTCATTCTCTCCACTCCCCCACGACTACCACAGCATCTGCTCAGGATACGGCCTGGTCCAAGATTATAGAGACCTTAAGATGAGGAAAAGTAGACTAACATAAGCATAGATGTCATTCAAATTATAATTTCTTTGGGAGGTGTACCTGGCTTCGGTTGCCCCACTGACCATAAACAATTGCCTTCAGATGACCCCAAAGATAAAAGTCTAAGGGGGTCAGATCGGGAGACCTTGGGGGCCATTCAACTGGCTAACGACGACCAATCCACTTTTCAGGAAATCTTGCTGGAAAAACTCAGGGAAGGTGCCAGCTTCAGTGCATAAAGAGGGAAACACATCATCATGGAGCAATTTACAATATCCAGTGACCTTGAAGTTTCCATTGATGAAGAACGGCCCCACTATCTTGGCTGTCTATGGTGTGAAGATACAAGATGTGCAGCACCTGAAACAACGGATACTGGAAGCCTGTGCTGGCATTTCTCCTGCCGTGTTGCTATCAGTGTGTGAAGAGTGGGAGAAGAGGGCTGCATTGACAATCCAACACAATGGGCAGCACATTTTATAAGTGATCAGAAACTTGTAAATAACTCACGAAATAACAAAGTTGCATTAAAACCAAGCACATCATTGATTTTCTTGTAAAATTCCCAATAGGTTTGATGTGTCACATGAACCTCTTCCTATTGAAAAAACAAAAATTTGATCCAAGATGGCCGACTTCAAAATGGCCACCATGGTCACCACCCATCTTGAAAAGTTTGCCCCCTCACATATACTAATGTGCCACAAACAGGACGTTAATATCACCAACCATTCCCATTTTATTAAGGTGTATCCATATAAATGGCCCCCCCTGTATAGATTTCGAGAATGAAGCGCGGCTGGAAAACAATGTTTTAAGGCATTACAAATGGCGAAGGCACATGGCACATCACTTCAGGAGGAGGCGTGAGTTCATTTAGCTAAACTGTGACATGGTCATCTTCCGGAAATATTACCGTCGATCCAGCAGGTAATGTTTTCCCCTCTCTTTCTGTCAGCTGGTTAAGCGCAAATATTTTTCCTCCACATCCCATAATGCACAACGCATGAGCCTATGGCAGCTGGATTAGTCCAAAAAGGCGCGGTGCTTTTTGCGGTTGGGTTTGTTTCAGTGTTTGTTTCAAAGCGTACCAAGACCACCTCTTCAAGAAGGTCTTGGTATTTTTTATTTATTTATTTATTTATTTTTAATCAGCTTTTGGTGCGCACTTGAGTGCGATTGCTGCATTTACACCTGCCCAAACGAACCGCATCAAGAGGGGAAAACTAAGGCCCCGTTTACAGTTTTTTTAGTTTTAAAACGCATAAGTTTTGCTTCGGTTAAGTTTTTGCTACGCGCCGAAAACGGAGCGTTTCGGAAACGCTGGACAGGCCGTTTTCAATCTAAACCGCTGCTGCTCTGTCTCAGTGTGGATGAAGGAAAACGGAGACATCTGAAAACGGAGGAGGGGCTGCTAAGATTCACTACCTGATTGGGGCTTTTGTGTCATTGCGTATCCTTCCCTTATTCGTCAGGCCCCAATCACATGACTATAACAATAATGGCTTTAACGCTACCAGAAGACAACTGACCTGCCTTCACTGTAAAA